GCACAGACTTGTTAATGGCAATGATGTGATAAGGATAGCTTCCCACAAGCCAGCTCATCTATCTACCCATTAGGGGCATTTATATACCCATAAGGTTGGACCTTTTTGTGACACAGAAATCTACAGTCCCTTGTGACAGGGAGCATTTAGTTAATGTCCTCATCCCTGCCTCCAGGGTAGAGAAACATTCCAAGTCTGAATGTCTTGGGCTTGTCAGTTCATTCCAGAATTGGAGGTGGTTCCCAGAGAGGATGCTAGACAAAGTCTCCAAAGTCTTCAAAGCAATGAAGGAAAGAGGGTACTTTTAAAAAGGGAGCCAGACTGCAGGACACCAGGTTAATAATACACAAAAGTTCATTTCCCAATGTACCAGGTATAAATAAGTAAAGTCTGAAATTCAACATATAACCCGTTCATATAAGTACCTCCAAAAATGAAATGCAGTCTATAGACACAGATCTAACAAAATATCCGTGAGATTTAGAGGAGGGAAATAAACTGGCAGAAGAAACTGAAAACCAAAGGGTAAGATATTTCATGTTTGCAGATAGAAAATTCAGTCTTAGCATACCCAGGCTTCCCAACTTGATAGATTCGATAGTATTTCAACCAAAATCCAATAATTTATTCTATGTTTGTCGACAAGCTGTATCTAGAATCTATTGAGCAAGTCCAGTGTTTTGACATTTTTCTATAATATCATTTACAGGCTCCATGCTTAAAATTGCACAATCATGTTAGAAGGAAATATGGTTATATTTTAAGTGAGTTTATTTTGTGATGGGCCATATTCATAGTCCTCATGTGCCAAATGTGGCACCAGAGGATTGGACACACCTAGAGGAGACCAGAGACCCCCTAAGAGCCAACACAGTATTGAAGCAGAGCAAAGTTGGGACCTTGGGAGAGATCTGTGAGTAGGAGGCAGAGACACAGAAGCCACTTAAGATTGGCAGCTGCTGTTCGATGAGGGGAGTCAAGGCTACACAGTGCAACAGATGGCCTGGGCACAGACCACAGTACATCCTTCTCCACAGGAAAAAGAAGTGAGTAACAGGCCCAAATGCAAAACAGCTAAGAAAAACTGAAGAGAAAGAAAAACTGGCTTGAGTTTACTTTTGATGACCAGCAAAAACATAATCTATGAAAGAAACAGAAATCCAAACTTTCTGGGCTGGCTATCCAGGCAGCTCAGTTATAGAGCTCTCCCTTAGCATGCCCCAGGCCATGAGTTGGAAGCCCCAGCAACTCCAAAAGAAGAGAGGAAGAAAAAATTTCTGCTCTGTGAAAAACAGTCAAGAGAATAGAACTCAGCGCCATAGCCTAGTAGAAGGTTTTTCAACTGACATCAGGTAAAGGGCTGTTGCCCAAGATGTACAAAGACCCCTTCAAACTTAGCAACCAAAAGTGAACCAAAGCCCTGGACACCTCACAGAAAAAACAGCTATGAGAAGATGATCCACACTGGTATCAAGAGGAAAAATACAGATTCAAAATGATGAGATACCGTCACACCCTAGAGTGGCCAAAACCCAGAGGAGACAACACCAAATGCTGGCTGGGACACAGAGTAACCGGAACTCTCATTCACTGATGAGGAAATGCAAATGGCGTGGATCCCTTGGAGAACAGATGGGCATTTCTGAGGAGACTGTAGACTGTTTTTACTATAAAGCCCAAATGGATTGAGAGTATAAGGCCATGCAAGAACCTACAGACAGATCCTTAGAACAGCCTCAGTAATAGTTTCCAAAACTCAGAAGTCCCCAAGCTGCCTTTCAGTAAGTAGGTGAATAGTTATAGGAACAGGTGGTAATGAGAGATTGCCCAGTGCCAAAAAAGTATTTGAAGGCATCAAGCTGTGAAAAACCATCAAGGAACTCAGGTGCACAGTGCTAAGCAACGAAAACCAATAAAAATGGTCATATACTGTCTGGTGACATTTATATGACTGTCAAATGGAAGCAATTAAAAAAAATCAATGGTCACCAAGTAGAGGGTAGAGCCAAGATCTTTAGATGTGACAATGTCCATGTAATAGTGCAAAGGCAGATGCGTGTCAATAAACG